TTTTTGATTTGATATCATATAGTGTTTTTTCAAGTACTTCAACCCACTGTTTCCTAATTACCCTTTCTACAGCTTGCATAAAACACTAGCTAATGAAACTGGTCTATGATTTAGAGGGTTTTCTTTGTCGCCGTTCTTGTATAAAGGTGTAACATTGGCAATTATCCAGTTCTTTTTTGTAGTTTTCCTTGTCTCACTAAATTTTGGGATATTAACAATAACGGATATCTCAGATATCTCATCTGGTCCCTCTGGTTTAGTCTTGTCTAACCCTTTCAGTTGGTGTTTATTTCATTCTTTTCTGATTCGATATTCTAATTTACGTTTGTGCGGTTACTTGCCATTTCAAAGTATGATTCCTGAACAAACACTGACTGAAATTTCTCATTAAGGATTTCACACATTTCCTCTTCCTTAATATAAACGATGTTATTGTCTTTGATGGCACTAATCTGATCTCTAGCCTTGGTTGGTTGTACATTTATCGATTATAGTCTATCCTTTTCAAGTCTAGTTTCGCCTCCCTCATGGTTTGGTTATACTCAGTTCTTCCTACTTTATACCTTCCATAAGCTGCCTGAAATCTAGGTCTTCTGAACCTTCTCCAAAGGAGCTATTTATTTTCCATCTTTTTCTTGCATTTATCATTGAACCATTTTGGGCCATTCCTTGCTTTAGTTTTGAATCTTGATACAGATTTTTCTACTCCTTGCTTATAGACTGCAAAATTTAGAATACTACATATCAAGGTTCTCTTCGTTCATATGGGTTTCCCAGTTTATGACATCAAAGAAATCTTTGAGACCGCTATAATTACCTCTCTTGTAATTGTACTCTCCTTTTCTTTCCTTACGATGAGTTTTCCCTGTAGCGGACAGTAGTTCAATTTAATTACTACATGATCACTTTTTCCTAGAGGGTAGTACTCCCTTAATGTTACCTTTATGCTTTTTAAATACGTCAAAAGTAGACGGTCTATCTATCCCTCTTATCCTGGTATGATCTGATACAATTTGAAAAAGACAAAATTCATATATGACTTCTGGTAATTTGGCATTCCACGAATCTGGCTGAGCTCTGGGATCGAAACTTTCCCAGTCGATTTTGCTATTAAAATCCCCCGTTACAATAATTTCTTTTGCATTAGTTTCCGAAAGTTGTAGCACTTCTTCCAGGCTCTTTAACGTTTCTTGAATAAGGTTTTGGTAATTTTCTTGTGACCACGCCTATGTATGAGGTGGCATGTACACTTTGTTTCTACCTCATTTCCCTTTAGTTCTACTTTACGATCTTGTTGAATCTCTATCTCCAGTATAATAATTCCTTTCCTTGTTGCTACCTCCCTCCATTTCCATTTGCCCTATCTTTTCTCCAAATATTATAATCTCTGAGTCCTAATGTTACATCAAGGGATCCAGTTTGGATTCAGTGATGCATATTACGTCTGGTTTATTAATTTCAGTAATTTCATCTAGTTGTAGTAACTTCGAACACAAACCATCTATATTTGTATAATCTATATCTATATAATCTTGCGTTATTCATTTTGGCTGCAAGGCTAATGATTGTCAGTCTCCACATTTGTTCCGATAGTAGACTTGTTTTGCTTGGAGGCTTCTCACCCTCCATTTTTTTCTTTAGTCCTTTGTTCGTTTTTGTTTTTTACCTTTTCCATATTTTGCAGTATTTCTCTGTCATCTTTGGTCATGTTTTCTCTTATCCAGATTTTCTTATATTCCTCGTGAATGGCCAGGACTTTATTATATTAGTTACCATTTGCTTTTTCATGAATATCACCTATAAAGGGAATTATGGCCTTGAGAATACTGATAATCAAATTCTCTTCTTCGTTATATCGTTCGATTTCACCTTCTACAACTATTTCTTCGTCCTTGTTTACATCAGCAATATTCCTTCCGTGTTGCCCAAGGTGTGTGCGTGCGTGCGTGTGCGTGTGCGTGTGCGTGTGCGTGTGCGTGTGCGTGTGCGTGTGCGTGTGCGTGTGCGTGTGCGTGTGCGTGTGCGTGTGCGTGTGTGTGTGTGTGTGTGTGTGTGTGTGTGTGTGCGCGCGCAGACATATATATTTTTAAAAAATGAAAAATGAGTATATTTTGATACCTTAAATTGCTGATTAATTCTGAAACTGCTTGGAACTTTTAAAGGACAACCGGAATTTGAGAGAAAATGTCCTTCTTTGAGGCCCTGTTTAGAGGTAAGTCGAGGGCCCTAATAGTGAATCATGGGACCCCAGTCCATTTCAGAGGGTGACCCCGTCAAAAGGGGCTCCAAAATGTCATAATCGGACCTTGCTTACGACTACTGATAACACGATTGACGTGAAAGTATACTTTGTTCTATTGTAACGATAAGCTCCCGAACCAAAGGTAATGACACCGCCCCTCCCCTCCTATTTTCAACATCTCTTCGCTCGATATTTTTAAGAAATATGTTTGTTTTAATAAAAATTAATGCTAAAACATTTTCATATATACCCATTTTGTATCTAATGCAATGTTATCATTTAACAGATTTCAACCAGAGAATGTGACCGCAGGGAGTGGCCAAATCACCGCAAGGTTGTTTTAGGTGGATGTACGTAAGCGGTATCGGGGAGGTGACGGATATCGGCCTTGGCTGATTTACTGGCAGCAGATATGTAGAAATCCTTGAAGTTTTCCTCCCAATACATAGGGAAACTGATCCCTTCTACTTATTCAGGACAACAGCCCCATCCATACCAGCCGTGTTGTCGAAGACTGGTTTCGTGAACACCCCGACATTGCGCTTTGCCACATCCACCCAGATCTCCGGGTCTCAACCCAGTTGAAAACGTGTGGGTAGCCATGTCAAAATACAAGCATCAAGACCACTCTCGTAATCGTGGCGCAGTGGTGAATAATGCCTTGCGAGCATGGGAACGTCTGTGACGTGAGGAGGCGTGCGTTGACAGCAGAGTTAATGGCGTCTATGTTTCGACGCTTAAACTGTGTTTTGGCAGCAGGGGACAGGAACACAAAATATTAAACTTGAATATATTACCAATATCTTATTTTTCTTGTTTTGATCTTAATGAAATATGTCAATAGTCATTAGATAATATAATAACAATAAAACGAGTTGATAGCACCTATTTGGCAACACCTAACACATGTCTTTTCTGCATCATTACGATTAACCCAACATTTTCAAAAATGTATGAGAAAACTAACTGATTAGAGACAAAGTATTATACAATACAAACTATCTGCGAATTCACAGTCTCTTTATTCGTGACTTACCATTAGTTTGAAAAACAGGAATTCCAAGTTTCCTAGTTTAACAACTGTTATTTCAAAAAGTTTCATTGTTTGTGTCAGAATGTTTAGCATAATTTTCTTATGATAGTTTTCCATGTAGCTGTACATTTGAACATTGCCATATTTGATGCCAGCTCCAGTAACTCTTAAACCATAAAAATATGAGTATTCGTAATATCCCAGCTAGCATTAGCACATACCCTGGTGTAGTGATTGTTTCCTGATTTGAATTCCTGTTTCTGTAAAGAAATCTGTGAGGACATGATTTTTCTCAGTTCATTTTAATGAAAGTTAGTGAAAAGATGGTTTATTACCATGGGGGATGTGTTGCTCTTTCAAACATATACTTTACCAGCTTCATATTTCATTCTGAAGAGATCACCAATATTTTTTCTTTTATAAATCACTGGTTAAACAAAAAAGGAAACAATTCAGCAAAACAAAGTGCAAGAGAGAAGTGTCACAGACTCATTGAAAACTCTAGGAGCATAACTCATTCTCCACCACAGTTACATCTTAATAATTTGTAGATTATGAATGTCACTAAATACTGAATGCCAGACTTAAGTGCAGGAACAAAATAAGAAAAAATGCACATGGTTGGAGCAAAGTATGACAAGAATTTATTGCTAAGGATTCCTTGAAATATCCCAAATTTACGCTAAGGAAATTTTTGATTGAAGACGAGATTGGTTATGTTCCATTCAGAAAGATAATTGTCATGACATTTTCATATCTATCTTGCAAGATTGTGAAATATATAATTATTTTTACAAATATTTATATGCATTGTAATGCACCAGTTTTTTTTATCAATATAAATCAAAAACTAAAAATTCATAAAAAAAATATGCGGTGACATCACCTAATAAGAATTAAAGAATGAAAAGCAGAAATTGCTGCAAAAAAATCTAAAGCTGAAGACAAGGAAAATGACCCCTTACCTCCCACAATTAAGCATTCAATCAGTTCAGGCACAATACCATGGCCATTCAAGTACGCCCTATTGCTTCTGTGTAAGACATTTATGTTACATGTTAGAGTCACTGCATGTGTTATGGGATATATACAGTACCTAAACTGTTGGACCTATAGTTACTGATGCTTTTTCAAAATCGACCAAAGGGAATTTTATTACTATTTACTCTTGATAAGGGAGACATACTTACTCATTATTCCAAATAGAACATGATCTCTAACATGAAGCATAACAAAGACCTTTTGTAAAAACTTTACATGAAGAACCTTATATTAGTCAAAAACAATGAAAACATGCTACTTCTAATTACGACTGCCATTCTGATTATGACGGAAATCTCAATGGGCAATATTGTTATAATTACAAGTTGTTACACTAAACTGCTACATTTGGTGTTGCTGTCCAGTTAGACCAGAATACCAGATAAGGGAGGAAGACTTGCTGTATGACAGGGCATTGCATGATGTAGCTCTACTACATATGCCCAACAACCAATCTCCAGGATTTTGAACCCTGTTTGATAACACCCTAAGTATTCACATTCAGTTCAAATGTGTTCAGCAGGAATTTATATTCTGATAATACTGTATATATGATTAGAGTTTGTATTTAGTATTTGAATTTCCTTCCCGTCACAAGTTACTGTCCATCCAATTACTATTTACGACTCATGATCTATTTCCATCAGTTCCCTGCAGTCAAAAGGAACAAAATCAACAAACATAATAAATTTCCATTTTATTGGAAATAAGAAGAAACCTTACAATATGTACACTTAATTTTATGATTCAACATGTATATTTGATTGTAACTTCATTCCAACTTTCTATGCAACAATTCCCCTAGACTTTGGTCTATAAGAAGCAAAGCCATCCTTCTTCACAACTGGCATCTTGGGAGGTTGCAGTGAAGCCTTTGCAGCTACCCTTCTCCCTCCAATATCTATTTCAAACCTGGAATTACCAAGGATGTAGTCCGGAGACATCACTCTTCCGTCTCGGTGCTTTACCCAACCCAAGCACACCATCTTGTTTAAAGTGAATCCAAATCTGTAAAGACCAAAACAAATCAGATTTGATTCTTTCATTTTTTTTATATTTAAGTATGTGGAAGTGAACGAAAAGGATTGAGAGAGCAAAAGAAAGAAGCACTGGAATCGAACGCAATTTTTATCAAGACCACTTTAATTTATTCATATTTACTCTAACCCATAAGAGGTGCAGACTCCCAACAAGATGTACTGACAAAATAAATATAAGCATAAAGGGTGAGGGAGGAGAGAAGAGAGTTCTTATAAACAAGAGACATGGGGATAGGGAGGAAGGAGAAGAGAGAAAGAAAATGTCATGTTATGATTTCTGAAAAAAGAAAATGAGAAAATATCTTTGAATCCATTACCCTTTTCTCATAATCAAACAGAAATTATGCATACATACGCAGTAGATGTTGTGTTCCCCACATAGATGTTATTGCGATAGATAGGTTCACCTCCCCATGGCCAGGTGTCCTCATCAGGGTCAAAGGTGTCTTCCAAAGTGAAGTGAACTAATCGTTTGGATATACCTTGATTTGCTTGTCTCATTAGAGCAAATTTGCCGATAAAATATTCTTTCTGCAAGAATAATTATATATTTAATCAATGGCTTACCATACAGTTTGTCATTTTATTTACAGGAATCAAAAAGGAGGAATTTTTGGATAAATATATATATTAACTTACATTAAGCTTGACCTTATATCCACGTCCAGCTTCATACGGAGTTACAGTAGAATCTAGTTCTTCAGCCCAAAATGGAATGAATTTCTCAACTCGTAATGCCCTCATTGTCATCATACCTACATTTCGGATTCCATAATCATGTCCAATCTATACATAGAAAAAAAAAAATTGAGTACAATGGTTAAAAAGAATGCAGAAGCTACAGCATACTTTACTTAAAGGAGATATATATTTCATATCACTTTGAACTGACATAAAACTTCTGAGTCAGCCAGAAAACATACATAAGTAAGATTTCATAAACTTATGCTACTGCAGTAGTATAAGAAACATGAAAATATTACCAAAATATATATAACTTTCATAATGCTAACAATATAATTCATGTAAAGGAAGGAATAGCATACAACTTGCTGTTAATCTTTTATTTTTTTTTACAATGCAAACCATATGAATCAGGAAATATGGTAATTGAATAAAAGCATTCTAATTCTAATCCATTTAGTTATATGGATATTCACCCAACAGAAAATAATCATTATTTAAGACTAAGGATATGTAAAGGAAGGGTGCCATTACCATTATTTAAAATGTGGGAATAAATGCAAGTCTTACCTTCATCAATTGACTGTATATATGAAGAGTGTACTCTGATGGAATGAGTAACGTATATCCTGGTTCTCCAACTTGAGTAAATGACAAAACTATCACTCCAGAAGCATAGGCAATATTAATTTCCTGCAATTCAAACACTAATTATAATAATAATAATAACTTGACATTACAAGTGTCTATTACAACTATGGAATATTTCATGTGGAAATGTATGAGTACTGCCCCACGTCACTATCCCCCCAACACCTACCTTAGCCATGTGGCCATAAAAGTTGAGGTCTGTGTTGCACATAAGTGACAACATTTCCTTTGACTTCGGCCCAACAACACAAAGTACTGTGTACATGGACGTTATATCTGACACTGAAACACAAGCCTCTGCAGTAATCTGTCTTCTCATCCAATCCATGATACGAGTTTGCTGGGTTGTTGGTGCTAACATCAAGTACCTAGAATAGAACGAAAATCAGTCTAAAAACAATGAAGAATATTGTTTATAGGGTTAAAGATTATAGTTTCCCTATTGCTATGTAAGTTCTGTGTGACCCTTCTGAATGGTTGAGCCATTTGTGTATCCTAGTCAAGGGGTCTCACAAATTCAAGACAAAAGTGTTATTGGTAACCAAATTGGTCTCATCTCCACTCCCATGATGATGATAACAGGGTTTCAAAATTTTATGTAGAATAAAATTAGGAATCAGATGCTCAGACATATTTCAATCTCTATGCAATTATCTGTTGAAATAACTTGCAATGTAATAAATCACAGATACAAGCACAAACTGCTTGAGTCTACTATGCTCATTCTAGTTGGAACAGCGATGCATGCCTATTTGAATAGCTTAACCCATTGCCGACGAGCATGCCATGCCCTGCCCACTGTGAGATTACTTATTGGACTGTTTTTACACATAGATGGCTACACTTGTACTTAGTCACCAATGAGCCAATTATGAGTACTGCTTGTCTCGCTCGTTCACCCTTTTCTCTAATTTTCGAAAATATTTTACGTTATCTTATTTTGCTATTATTAATGTTTATAACATTATAGTAATTATAATGTTTATAATAAAAATAACACCATCAATATTCAAAGCACTAGTAAAAAATACATTTTCCCATCAATTCAAGGAAATGTGAAATCAGGCAAGGCAGAGCCATCTATGTGTAGAGACATTTCACCAAAAAATATAAAAAATGAGCACAGCATTTTCCCCATTTCTTATTCATTTTCCCTGTTGGCAATGGATTGAATGGATCAACCACACCAAACCATACTACACAGATTTGTCCAAATAATCTGGTAATCTAGCTTATTCAATATTATTCTTTTGTTCAGGTTGATATTCCAGCAACCACTATATATTCATGGTCTAGGTAGGTTTTTTTCTAGTAACTGTAACAAACTTCCATTTCCTATTTCAATAAGCCATTCAAACAATATGGATCAGAATAAAATAGCAATGGTATTACTTATGTTAAGAAAAAAAAAAAAAAAAAAAAAAAAGGAAATGTGGAACATCATAAAATGAATCTTTCTATCTACACTTTCAATCACATTCAAACCACTCAGGTTCGATCAGTCCTCTAGAAAAATAAGGATAAAAGGCATTTGATCAAATCATAATATTTTCTAGCTTTTTTTTTTTTGCATACATTTAGTAAATATTATTAGTTATTGTCTGTTTCTTGTGAACTATTTGCACATTTAAAATAAAAACTACTACCAGAATTAAATATTTCAGAATAGGCATATTGCCAGTCAATGCTATTATTTCACTTTGGCAAATCTTATACTAACCTAATAACAAGACTTTCCTACATTACCAATACTAATTCATTTCAGCTTAAGTCTACTATTATGCACTTCCTTTAGTCTTTCTTACATTCATAAAAAAAAAAAAAAAAAACTTACCTGTTATCTGCTCTCCTTATAAGAAGACAGTCATTTTCATAGCCACCCCGTTCATTGAGCATGCCTGTGTGAATCACTCCACCCACTGGCATATTCACGTCATTGCAGGACAACTTCTGCATGTATTCAACTACCTGATTCCCTGCTGACTGAATAATTAATAAAGAGCGAGAGGGAAGGAGGGAGGGGGGAGAGAGGAGAGGCAAGGGGAAATAGGAGAGACAGACAGAGAGAGAGAGAGAGAGAGAGAGAGAGAGAGAGAGAGAGAGAGAGAGAGAGAGAGAGAGAGAGAGAGAGAGAGAGAGAGAGAGAGAGAGAGAGAGAGATCATTAATATGAAATCTGTTTTTGTTTATGTTATTCTTATATATATATATATATACACACACAGTAACACAATTCATAATTGATCATCTAATATTGTGCTCTTTGTAAAGCATACCATGAAAACCTTGAATAAGTATGAACAACAAATCTACAAAAAGGGATAAAATACACAAAAAATATCTTAAGAGGCAGAGAGAGAGAGAGAGAGAGAGAGAGAGAGAGAGAGAGAGAGAGAGAGAGAGGAGGAGGAGGAGGAGGAGGAGGAGGAGGAGGAGGAGGAGGAGGAGGAGGAGGAGGAGGAGGAGGGGGAGGGGGAGGGGGAGGGGGAGGGGGAGGGGGAGGAGGAGGAGGAGGAGGAGGAGGAGGAGGAGGAGGAGGAGGAGGAGGAGGAGGAGGAGGAGGAGGAGGAGGAGGAGGAGGAGGAGGAGGAGGCAGCAGCAGCAGCAGGAGGCAGCAGGAGGCAGCAGAGGAGGCAGCAGGAGGCAGCAGGAGGCAGCAGAGGAGGCAAAGGGAGGGAGGGAGGGAGGGAGGGAGGGAGGGAGGAAGGGAGGAAGGGAGGGAGAGGGAGAGGGAGAGGGAGAGGGAGAGAGAGAGGGAGGAGAGAGGGAGGAGAGAGGAAGGGAGGAGAGAGGGAGGAGAGAGGGAGGGAGGGAGGGAGGGAGGGGGAGAGGGAGGGAGGGAGGGAGGGGGAAAGGGAGGGAGGGAGGGAGGGGGAGAGGGAGGGAGGGAGGGAGGGAGGGGGAGAGAGAGGGAGGGAGGGGAGAGGGAGGGAGGGAGGGAGGGAGGGGAGAGGGAGGGAGGGAGACTGAGAGGGAGAGGGAGGAGAGAGGGAGGGAGGGGGGTGGGAAGGGGGAGGGAGGGAGGGAGAGGGAGAGAGAGAAAGGGAGGAGTGAGGGAGGGAGGGGGAGAGGGAAGAAGGGAGGGGGAGAGGGAGGAAGGGAGGGAGGGGGAGGGGGAGAGGGAGGAGAGAGGGAGGGAGGGGGAGAGGCAGGGAGGGAGGGAGGGAGGGAGGGAGATGGGGAAAGGGAGGGAGGGAGGGAGGGAGGGAGGGAGGGAGGGAGGGAGGGGGAGAGGGAGAGGGAGGATAGAGGGAGGGGGAGAAAGGGAGGGAGGGAGGGAGGGAGGGGGAGAGGAGGAAGGGAGGAGAGGGGAGAGGGAGGGAGGGAGGGAGGGGGAGAGGGAGGGAGGGAGGGAGGGGAGAGGAGGGAGAGGAGGGAGGAGAGGAGAGAGAGAGAGAGAGAGAGAGAGAGAGAGAGAGAGAGAGAGAGAGAGAGAGAGAGAGAGAGAGAGAGAGAGAGAGAGAGAGAGAGGCACTGAAGTCCTTGGGCTCCATCTTAACCAACTATTCTACTGAAAAGAGTTTATGAAAAAAATAAAACTGTTAAAGAAATAACAACAAAAACAGGCTAGCATATCATAATAAGGATGAAGATTCTTATTGATTTATTCATGTTAATTTTTTATCCTGCTGTAAGTTAGTGGCATCAATAGCTGAGCTCATTTATACCAGTTATGCGCATTCCTTCTTCCAGAATGAAAGCAGACAATGCATTCACACCTTATGGGCTGGGATTAGTTTGGTGGAAGGAATCAAACATAGTTAAACAACAAAGAGAGAGACAGAAGAGGAAAATTATCCTGGTTAACAAAATATTCAGTTTAGTAAGTCTAAAGAAGCAGGGAATTGGAATGTGGTCTAAAGCAAAAAAGGATTCTCATATACAAGACTATCAATGATATTTCATGGTTTGCATATGAACTCAAATTTGTTAAAGCACCTTTCATCATTAGAACATCTATTTTTGCTAGTCTGTTTTAGATTCAACTGCTAAGTGATTGTTATCCTCGCTATTAACAGAAAATGAAAATTATAATAAATAATTATCTAATCGCTTCATCATAATCAACAAATTCACTTACTCTTTTCTGACAGGAAGGATATTAAGAGAAAACAACACCAAAGGAATAATGAATAGCTTATAGGGTGAAGATTCAAAGTGTATTACAAAACTCATCAATCCTACCTTTGACCTATATAAACTGTCAGCTGCACTCTGGAAAAAATGTGCAACTATTACTAAATAACTTGTATTACACCTTCCAGAACTATTTTAAGTTTCAAGGTAAATGCCCCTCTGGACACTTGCTTATACTATTCAAACTACACAGCAATATTTATAATATAGGTATCAATAACTTGTAATGGGGTGCTGTAAGAAAGTATGTATGTATATTAAATTTAATAAACTGTCTAATAATTATTAACCCATTCACGCCGGGCGTCCCGTATACGTGACGGGCTCACAGCCAGTTTACTTGTTTAATTGTTTACAAACATAGATGGCTCCACTTGCACTTGTACTGCCTGTCTCGTCTGTTTACCCTTTTCTTTAATTTACGAAATTATTTTGCGTTATCTTATTTTGCTGTTACTAATGTTTATAACATTAGAGTAATTATAATGTTTATAATGAAAATAACCATTGATATTCATAGCACTAGTAAAAATACAGTTTCCCGCCAAATGAAATCAGGTAAAGCAGAGCCATCTAGTGTAGAGAAATTTCATTAAAAAATATAAAAAATGAGCACAGCATTTTCCCAATTTTTTGTTCATTTTTACCCGGCGCGAATGGGTTAAAAGACAGTGTAGGACTGCTATGTTTTTCATTTATACAAGTGTTCCACCGTACCATCAGGTGTGCGTGTGACTCATATGGATCAGAGCCAACAGGGTATAAAAATAATGTAATTTATGCGAGGAAACTACAGCTAAACACATTTTATTGCAACAACAGGTTCCGAGAGAAAGCAAGAAATAGGAGCTGATGCCTTTTCAACAGAACCTTCTTTCTAATACACACAAAAAATAATAATAAAATAGAGTTTGAAAATAATACTATCACTGTGTGGGCATTTACATCACCCAAATTTTTAGAAAATTCTGGAAGGTGTATCATTATGACAAAAGACAATGGTAAAGAACTAAATAGTTTTGTTAGTATTGTTTTGAAGCAGAAGTTCTTATGGGAAAGGTATGGATGGAAATAACAATAACAAATGGAAAACAATAAATATATAATATAAAATCAATTTATAATAATGAAACAACATCTATATAGTGTTTTTACTGATAATATTTTGGCTTTCAAAGCCAGTTGTTTTCTCTTTGACATTACTGTGCTTTTTCTTTCATATGTGCTTAATCAATCTTTCAAATGAAAGGATTATCTTATCTTCAATTATTTACTTTCTCAGTTCAATTGTCCTTGTTTCTTTGTTTGATAACTGACTAAAAGGACTATTACCTGAAGGCAAATCTTAAAATACTTTCTAAAATCTACAATTTATTTCATTTATTTCTTCCTATCACATGAACATGCACTTCAATCTGTACACATATCTGTAAACAGAGTAATATTTAACAAATAGGGAAGACTATAGATCCCCACTTCCCACAAAATTAAGCAGGATTTAGGTAAACAATGCTGAGATCTGGCTCCCCTGGTTCCTCTGACTAAGCATCTGGACTTGGTCAAAAGGGCAATAATCCCCGACTTGATTCTGGTCCCAGATTCCAAGGTCATAACCCTTATTACAATCTTTAAAATGATTTGAGAAGCTCTCTCTGTTTTAACTGTTTATATTATGATTTATTACATTTCAATAAAAACAAACTTATTTTTTGTAATTTTTGTAATATTTGCACCAAAGATCTACATTTGCCTTTATTAAGAGAACATATTAAATGACTCTCTAGATATGTTTGTAAATACATGATAATCTGCACAAATTTGTAGAAATTACAGGATAGATTTGTAGAATGTACAAAGTATATGGTAAAATGCTCTTGTATGATAGGCTTTTTACTTAGCTTTTTCTATTCTTCAGGTCATATAAATCACTAGATCATGGTAAAAATGCCAGCCTACAACATTCCATTTTCCCTTGCCTAATAAATCAGCTGGTGTAACATTAAAGGTATATTCAAAAGTTATTATGTGGGTTATGAAGTAACATTATAAAGGTATGTCTGCAGAACTTCAAAAATCTATGGTTTTCAAGATACAGTAACTAAAATGTCTGTTAAGCACATAAGAAAGTTTATCCACAGTAACAAATAAAACTTCTTAATGATTAAAAAAAAAATTGAGCCCATAAAATATTGTCTTCTCTAAAAACTTATTACGTACTGATGGATTAACTAATTCCTGAGAATTAGCATATATACATAAACAATAGCTTATCTCCATTCAAATGTATTTACAATGAAAAGAGGAGTAATACAGCAATCTAGTTGCTGCCTCATAATGCCATATTGCATTGAGTGATGTTATCATGCTGTAAATGATGTGCAATAGTTAATATGTCTGAATTATTTTTTGAATTATAACTCTGAATCATAAGGAGAATAATTCATAAGAAGTGCATGATCTTCATCCACTAACCCTTCAGTCATTACTATCAAATCAATGCAGATGTGGCAGCACAGATCAATCAACTGTACTAAAAATTATATGGCAATCTGGAGACTTTTTATTACCTCCGCCAAGGAGGTTATGTTTTTGATGGCGTTGGTTTGTTGGTTAGTTTGTTTGTTAGCAGCCTAGCTCAAAAAGTGCTGGCCAGATTTCATCGAATTTTTGGGGACAAGTCAGAAAGGGACTAACTTAGAACTGATTAAATTTTGGTGACATTCCGAATTATCGTCTGGTTATTATTATTATTATCATTAATTAATCAATAAAGTACACAAATCTACGGTAAACGTGTACCACATTT